TGGTAGCATCATGCTGTGGGGATGTTTCTCAGCAACCGGACCTGGAAGGCTTGTAAAGATAGAGGGCAGAATGAATGCTGCAAAATACACTGAAATCCTGGGGGACAATCTTATTCAGTCTGCAAGAGAACTACGGCTTGGGAGATTTATTTTCCAGCAAGACAATGATCCGAAGCATACTGCAAAAGCTACACAGGAATGGTTAAAAAAGAACCAGGTAAATGTTCTGGAGTGGCCGAGTCAAAGCCCAGACCTCAATCCTATAGAGAATTTGTGGCTGGACTTAAAAAGGGCTGTTCATGCCCGATACCCACGCAACCTGACAGAGCTTGAGCGGTTTTGCAAGGAAGAGTGGAGCAAAATTGCTGTGGGCAGATGTACAAGACTTATCGAGACTTATCCACACAGACTCACTGCTGTGATTGCATCCAAAGGTGCATCTACAAAATACTGACTGGAAGGGGGTGATTGTTTATGCAAACAATTATATTTCTTTATATATTTTTATTTCATTGACATTACTTTGTATGATGATTGATTTATGAAAGCACTAAAAGGGTAAAACATCCAAGGGGGTGAATACTTATGATAGGCACTGTATGTACAGTATGTCCTCTCCACTGATGCTCGACATCATATGCACGTACATTGAATACAGCAGGCGAATTAATAACATGTAAGGGACGAGAAACACCCAGTAAAAAAACACTAGTGGTTTGAAAAGGTGTCTGCCTGTTTTGGACCATACAAACACTTGAAATAACTGTGCTTGGGTATATGTTAAGATGTTCAAAATACATTTATTTCATTCAAAAATGTAGAAAATAATTTTAAATTTTTTACCAATATATAATTACAAGTACTGTGTATACATCACCATGTACAAATGAGAGGTTTATAATAATACTGAATATTAATATTGACCAAATATTGCACAGATTAAACTTTAAGACACCTCTTCTTTTTCTTTTTCTCCCTTTTTCAGGGGTTGCCACAGTGAATCATTCCATCAATCATTCCATTTCCATCTCTCTCTGTTCTCTGTATCTTCTACTCTGACTCCAACTATCTGCATGTCCTCCGTCACTACATCCATATATCTCCTCTTTGGTCTTCCTCTCTGTCTCCTACCTGGTAGCTCCATCTCTAACATTCTTCTACCGATGTATCCACTGTCCCTCCTCTGCACATGTCCAAACCATCTCAATCTGGCTTCTCTAGCTTTTTCTCCAAACCTTCCTGTCTGTGTTGTCCCTCTAATGACCTCATTCCTGATCCTGTCCATTCTTGTCACTCCTAAAGAGAATCTTAGCATCTTTAACTCTGTCACCTCCAGCTCCGCCTCCTGTCTTCTGCCTATTGCTACCGTCTCTAAACCATACATCATGGCTGGTCTCACCACCGTCCTGTAAACCTTTCCCTTCACATTAGCTGACACTCTTCTGTCACAGATCACTCCTGACACTTTTCTCCAGCTGTTCCATCCTGCCTGTACTCTATTCTTCACCTCTCTTCCACAGTCTCTGCTGCTCTGAACAGTTGATCCCAAGTACCTAAACTCCTGCACCTTCACCAACTCTGCTCCTTGTAACCTCACTATTTACACACATGTACTCTGTCTAGCTGCTGCCTACTCTCACTACAGATCACAATGTCATCTGCAAACAACATAGTCCATGGGGACTCCTGTCTGACCTCATCTGTCAATCTGTCCATCACCACAGCAAACAAGAAGGGGCTCAGGGCCGATCCTTGATGTAGTCCCACCTCCACCTTGAAGTCTTCTGTCCTCCCAACAGCGCACCTCACTACTGTTGTACTATTCTCATACATGTCCTAACATACTTCTCTGCCACTCCTGACTTCCTCATACAAAACCACAATTCCTCCCTTGGCACTTTGTCATATGCCTTTTCTAGATCTACAAATACACAATGCAGCTCCTTCTGACCTTCCCTGTACTTCTCCATCAACATCCTCAAGGCAAATATTGCATCTGTGGTACTCTTCCTAGGCATGAAACCATACTGTTGTTCACAAATCTCCACTTCCTGCCTCAACCTAGCTTCAACTACTCTTTCCCAAATCTTCATTGTATGGCTCATCAACTTTATCCCTCTGTAGTTGTTACAACTCTGTGCATCACCCTTCTTATGAATTAGCACCAGAACACTTTTCCTCCACTCATCTTTCCACAATTTGGCCTATTAACAATAGCTTTTAGTTGTTGTATATATTGTACATATAGTTGTTGATTTTTATTTTATTTTTTTCTTAGTTATGCAACAGTGTGGGAAATTGCATTGATTCGTGTTTTCCATTCAATGCGAACTGCAGGGGAATTATTGTCAATAAATTTAAAAAACTGTTACAGTTAGAAAACAAAAATCTTGTGGTAGAGCGCTGCCATAATCCCATCTACCCAAAGGGGGCAGTGCAGGGAAAAAATGACCACTATCGCACCAGGCTCTTACTTTATAGATCTGCCAACCTTTATTCAAAAAAGTAGTAAATTGATGAATAATTTGTTTTATATTGATCTAAAATACAGGCTAAAATATATTAAAAAGAAAACCCCCAAAACCTTGTCCTGAGCAAAAATGTTTTTTTTATTTCTCGTTGAAAGGATCGTGGTAGAATATTACAGCAGAACACACATGACTCGAACAGCTGCCATTTCACGTAACACAGTACAGGAAGAAGGATGTAGATCAATCTCATCTGTTATATTATATATAGTATATTCCTAATAATAGAAAAGAAAAAAAACACTATTGCTCCCAGATGTTTGTTATACTTTAATATGGCATTTCTCTGCTGTGGGTAACAAAGTTCAACAAGAGGTTTGCAAACCGAGGAGAGAGGACGATGATGGTAACAGGAAACCGGTGGCTGTCTTTAAAATTAGGGCGAAAAGTAAACTTTTAACCTTTATTCTTCTCTACTGTTATATAGCGAAACAACTTAAAATGCTCTCAAATATGGATAAATACCATCATACAGCAATCAGAGTACGTAAACGAAAAAACACAAAGCTCTGCAGCAGAGCAGGCATGCAAACCTATATATTTTATTTTTATTAAAAGGAACGCTAAAAATAAAATGTGGATGACTGCAGAAATGACAAAATAAGGGACTTCAAAGAAGACAACTCGATGCTCTGTAAAGTGACCTGGAGTGCTGTTTGCTGACAAAAAACAAAAACTGATGTTGCTTTGTCAAATTTGTGATAACGTACTGTGTTATCAGTTTATCATGTTAATTATTTCCTAATGGCTAAAAGAAATGTTAGAAAAAAAAGCAGGTATGAAATATCACCTTGGACAGTTGCATCCAAGTTTAGTGTTTTAAATAAGCCACTTCAGGCAGCATTATCTTATAAATGTCTCATATTCCTAAGACATATTCAATATATCTCTTTTGAAAAATAACTCTATACTTGAGCTTTTTTTAGTAGCTAAATCTCTTTCAGTATATATATATTTTATTTTATTTTATAGATACAGCACCCCCCATTGTGGGTTTGTGTTTTTTTCTTTTTTTTAAAAGCACCTAATTTTTTTTTAAATTTTTCCTTACAATCAGACTGAACATCATTCTGCCATTCAATGATCTGAGTTCATGATTAAAGGATTTCAATAGTGCATCTTAAATAAGTCAACAAGGGTCGGTTTCCCTTGAGACCGTAGCTCAAGCCCACCAATATTAAGCTTTAACTTTGACCACGCTAGAGGCCCGAGCACACCGAATCCCCCTCCCTTCACCAACAGGTCACGGGGGTCATGTGTGGCCCGGGATCATGTGAAACAACATTGGTTGCTGCGGACTGCAACAACTGACCGACCAGATCTGCACCCAGAACTTCTGGAGGATGAAGCCGGCACAGGTTACGCTGATAACTCCCCCCGCCCCCATAAAGACACGAGGGGCTCGACAGCCCTGAGACACAACAGGCCGTGTGTGAGCAGCTACTGGAGCAGAGGCTCAGCACCTGAGGGATGTCCAGGAAAAGGAGAGAGAGATATTTGGACCCATTTGGATTGTTGGAGGGAGGGGGGCAGGGGGAGTCCAAATGAGACATGTGCTTGTAACAGACCACCTTTATAAAAGATGCTGGGCTGAGAAGGTTTGTTCTGTGAGGCCAAGGGGTGCTTCACTACAGCAGATGTCACGGCTATGGGTGTTTTCGGGCTCCGCCTGGGCGAGCAGTTCATTGCGGGTCACTTTAGACCAAAAAAACAAAAACGAACCCAAAACCCCCCAAACCCATCCCCTCAAAAACAAAACAAAACATGCAACCAGGGCGAGTGATGCAGGTGCCCTCCCTCACTCCCACAACTGTTGATTTGAGTATTTCACACACTGCCTGTTAAGAATCACACTGACTTAGGTTTAGCACCAGGTGACGTTACCCTTGGATATCAACCAAAAAGTGAAGACTGACGACCTGCACGGCTGAGTCTTTGAGCATTGTCAAACTTAATCTGCTGGGCTACACATGAGGTTTTTCAAATGGACGAGCTATAGATGTATATAAATATATAGTTATAAATATTTTTCATCAATAGGGAATCTCATACAGGAGCTGACTACTGCAGCCCGCACTCATTTATCTATAACATCCACCTAATCTTTAGGACATATTCTCTTATATAGACAGTGATTTCTTAGTCAAACATACTTTCGTGTTTTTCTCCGTTGTTTTAGCAATATTTTTTTTTTCAAAGTTCGATTCGTCATGCACAAAATAGTCGTTCCTCCATCTTTTGTTTCTCTTCAGAACTTTTCACCATTTCGTCAGATTCATCTTAGGTTGCTCCCTCTGCGTCAGTCGTCGTCCACGTCGTCGCCCTCGGACTCGTCACCGGTTCTCCTCTCGTACATTTTATCCCGGTGCCTCTCCTGGATCTCTTTCATTTCCTCGGCGTAGCGGCTAAACGCTCCCCCGAACTTGCTCCAAGCCTTGAAGGGAATCGTTATAGAGTTCCTGTAACTGGGCTTCACTTCACTAACCCGCAAGAACACGCCATACTTGTTTGATCCCACGTCAAAGAAGAACCGCTTGGAGTCCACAACGAAGGAGGTGCCCTCCGGAAGCTCGCTGTAACCTCCTGCGCCTCCGCTGCCGACCAGGTCCTCCTCGTCTCCCCCGTAGTCGTCTATTAACTTCGCCAAAGCATCACGGAACTCTATTAAGCCTTGTGCAGGAAGTGCGATGGTTTGGCCGGACTGCAGACCAGCTCCGGGCACACCACCTCCACCGACACCAAAACCAGGCCCACGGTTAACGGTCTGTCGGATCCGAAGAAACCGACCCCGTTGGTTCTCCTTAAGGTCGAGGTAGTATTTGCGGTTCTCGCGCACCAGGAACTCGCTCTTCAAGGCCCGTCTAGGCCCAGTGTCCTCTCCACCGGATGATTGAGCGATTTGCTCCGGGGTGCTAGGCCCAAGCTGGGCGTAGTGCTCTATGAAATCCCCCAGATAGTCACGGAACTCTGCCGCAACTGACATGGAGAGGGTCAGTCGACTTTTTGAGCCCCCGGCACCGACCTCGGCTATTTTGATGAACCGGCCTTTGGCGTTCTGCTTCACGTCAAGATAGAAGCGTTTGTTCTGAATGTCCAAACGCTTCGAGGCCAGCTCCTGGGTCTCCGGTTCCCGCTGGTAGTGCTGGAAACCACCGCCTCCTCCCCCTACGCCGCCGCCGCTACCACCACCGCGCTCACTGCCACTGTCCCCATCCGCCATCTTCGCCACCAGCAGCCCGTTTCTCTGCGTATCTTTGACCCCGTTTCCCCTCCCACCTCCGCCTCGGTCCTGCGCTCGCAAAGGAAACCGGACACCGAATTCTACGTTGTGATTGGTCGTCGTAACAGTCAATCACAACATCGTGCGTGATTCTGACGTTTTCGTTTGTCAGTCGGCCTGCTCCTCAGCAGACGTAATTGCCTTTGGAGTGACGGTAGTGTACTGTATATGATATTTACAGCGGAGCTTATGGATCACTTCTAACGGACTAACACAGTGTTTAACTATTCACTGCGGTGTCTCACTGTATGTTTTATTCATACAGATAATGTCTACGGTTAGAGCAGGTATGTGTGTCACCTGACTAAAATGGAAGAGTAAGTCCATACACTGACCTCTTCATAATGCAATTTTACATTTTGGGCACAAGCGCGTGCTTACACGCACACACGCACATACAGGATGAGTAGTCCCGCCTACTTGTTGGTTCCGTGCGCAAAGTCTGCCTCAACCTATGGGCACGACGGTCTTCGGGTGGGGGATGGGCGATTGTCATGCAAGCCGCCCTGCGATTGGTCCAAATTGAGGTTCGAAGTAACAACGCTTACTCCAATTGGTTACCCTAACTCCCACGAGCGGTCCCATGTAAAAGATTTGCGAAAGGGTTTATTGTGTCTTTGCTTTCGGGATCCGAATTTTGTTTTCTGTCAAGTGACTTCTAGAATCAAGTGACGGCTCGGAAAAATGGTACGTGTCTTAATTTTTAATTACACTCACGGTGCATACACATATACTTGCGCTGCAACAAACGTTGACCTGCATGGCTAGCTGTGTTAAAATCATAAAAGAAGAAGATTCGACTACTAGAGGATGTGTGGTTTTTAAGAAAAGTATCCAAATGGTTGTCAGCCAACACGATAGCATTACTATCTGAAGTCTATGTTTAGCTGCTTACTTGTTTTAGTCGTGTAATGTGTACAAAACGTGTACATTTTGTTTTACAATAAGCTACACTATTACCATATTAGGACTTGGGCAATTTAGCATGCATTTAACTATACAGTCTCTCAACGGATGGATTAGCAGCCGTTAGCAGGTTAACTTTAGCGTCATCGCTGTTACCCTACTAGTTGATTTGTATATAATTCAAAATGTTTTATTAAATGGAAGTAGTCCTTATTCGTATTTCTGATTTTTTTAGCCTATGTGGCTTTGTGCGCTAGAGTTGTTTTTCTGCTAAAACTAGAGAATGCGAAGCCGAAGGCAAGCTTTTTAAAACCGCGGCTCTGTTGTCGGTTTGCCGCGCCGCCACACACCGCTCCGATGTGTGTGTCTATTTTTTTTATCAGAATGAAGCAGTATTTTGTGTCAAACTTTATACTTTCACAGTTATTATTTTATACCTGTGATTTCCGGTAACCGCCATCGGTGCCGCCTTTTAGCCGTTTTGTTTTTATTAGCATTGGCGGGAAAGTGGGAACAACAATGTATGTAAACATCAATTGAATTTAATAATGGTTTGTTTATCTCAACAATGTTGTGATACTAAGTATTAATTTTAGGCGTGTGTTGCCCATTTTTGTTGTTGGAAATGCCCGTCAGTGAATTGAACATGAGGCAGTATTAGTCCAATTCCCTGAACTGTCATTTTCTCTGTCCCACTGCTTGACATTTGTGGGTCAATGTTTTGCATTTAATAACACCATGACCTTGCTTTGGTCACAGGCAGGAGGTAAGGCAGGAAAAGACAGTGGTAAAGCCAAGGCAAAGGCTGTGTCGCGCTCCCAAAGAGCCGGACTGCAGGTAAGTTATTTCTCAGCTATTTTGCCATTTTGAGCTCGGTTTAATGTATTTGTATTGTGGTAATCGATAACAGAGTTTCTACTGTTGTCACGCTTTCATTCGTTGGTCTCCTGCCAGTTTCCAGTGGGTCGTATCCACAGGCACTTGAAAACCCGCACAACCAGCCATGGTCGTGTTGGAGCCACAGCAGCGGTGTACAGTGCAGCCATCCTCGAGTACCTCACTGCTGAAGTGAGTCTTTTCATTTCTTTTGTTTGCATTTGTGTTGACAAATTATGTTGTCGCCTTTAAAATATCAAACGTTTTAGTTGGCACCATTTTTACTTGTTTTGTGTGTGTGCTCATCTGTTTTCATAGGTACTAGAGTTGGCAGGCAATGCCTCCAAAGACTTGAAGGTGAAACGTATCACTCCCCGTCACTTGCAGCTGGCTATCCGTGGGGATGAAGAGTTGGACTCCCTTATCAAAGCCACAATTGCTGGAGGAGGTATGTACAGCCTTTACTTGTCCATCAATTTTATTAGTCACTTACTACGATTTAGAAAAACTGATGAAGATGTTGTACTCACATGTTCTCTGTCCTTATAGGTGTCATTCCGCACATCCACAAATCCCTTATTGGGAAGAAGGGCCAGCAGAAGACTGCATAGATGCCATTTGATCATAATTTGGGGCTGGGGTTTTGTTTGGACCACGGGTTCACATTTGTCCTTTTTTATTAATGTTATAGCAAACAAAGAGTGATTGTTAGGCTTTTGCGTTGTATTTTACCATAACTAGTATGGTTCAGTAAATCCCTTAACAAAAGAAACAACAAAAACCTTTGTATGTCAATGTAGAATGTTTGACTGGGAAGTTAATGAATATCACAAAGTTGTGACAGTGAAATTGTTTGATTGGCCTGGGACTCTGTAATGTTTTATACTAAAGAAAAAAGAGTTAAACCATTTTTATATAAAAAAAAGACTTGGTTTGTGGTTATTTGCTTTGAGTTACAATATTTTACTAAGATACAAGTTTTTACAACGATTAGTTTGTTTTGAATGGCAAATTAGACAATGTGACATGGTGCTTTTATCCCTAACAATGTACTGTATCCTTTTTGAAGTGCACATGAATAGTGATTCTTAAAAATAAGAAAAGAAAAAAAAAGATGAAAATGTTTCAACCACCTGCTACAGTGTATTGTGTCAACTTTTTGGCAGGGTTCAGTGTTAAGCTTCACATTTTTATAATGTGCTTTGATCAGACAATGCTGGTTCTGCAGATTTTAACATGGCTAAAGGAGTCTGACATTGTTTTTAACTACATATTGCTCCTTATTATATCTGTGTACGTATGTGTCATATAAGCAACACAAGTAAAATATTTTAGCCAAGTACTTAAATGTATACAGAAAGAAAAATACTTAACTCTAGCTCAATCACAACAAAGTTTAATCTTTTATTTCAATAAGAAAACACCGGTCATGTCAGGGAAATGACTGCACATTTTAAATATGAATAAATATTGTTTGCATGTTTTGGTTTGAAAAACTACTTGAAATTTGCATTTATACATTTTTGTACGTTTTATATACGTGGTGCTATGACTGTCCAACAATACATGAACTAATCTGCACTGTTGTTTTCACTTTGTTTTTCTTTGAAACTTGTAATTTAAGAACCCTGCAAAGCATTGTCATCCAATCTTAACAGTCAACCAAGAGTCGGCTTGTAATACGGTAAAAGGTAAAACCGTATCGACTTATATATCGTCTGGTAGCGTCATTCAAGTTGCTGTTCAAGACCAACCTCTTAACCTTAAACTACTCATTGATTATCCTACAGTATTTGTTCTGCAAGTTAACATTCGGCCACAAGGGGGAGGCAAAGTAACATCAAACGACTAATATACTCTTGATGGTGGTTACTTGTTTGTAGAACTCTGTAGAATAATAACATGTTCCAAAAATGTTGGCTGTGTTTTAGAAACTGACTCTTAGTTTTGATTATCAAATTTGTTTGGTTTTAAACAAAGTCGTTTATGAAGACTTCCTCTGAACTTCCTATTGAGGTGATTAAATGTAATGTCAGATGTATTGTCCACATTAGCAGGGGTCTCTGCAGGAACACATAAAAGACCAGCCACCTTCACATCTTCAAAGAGCAAGAATCATCTGTTTATTCTTACATCTCTTACTGTTCACTTTCCTCCAGAGAACCGCAGGAGGATGACAGCTAGAAGAGGCACTGATGGTTTAATTTTCTTCTACAGCATAGAAGAGATGCCTCATGTAGGCTATTAATTAAAAATGACAGTGTTCATTCAAACGAGTTATAAAAAACGTGTTTTGTCTGTAATTAGAGGAAACAATGATTATGTGTTTGTTCATTTTAAACTCTTAATTTTGTAATTAGTTTCTACTATTCCTCTCAAAAAGGAAAATCTCAAAACCCTTTTGAAAAAGTGTTTTTTTAAACATTTGCCTTAGCATTAGTGCTAAAATAAATAAAAGACTATCATTCATTGACCTCATTTACAAAAAATAACAAACGTAGAAATATTTGTATTAGTCTACAGCAGAACTACCCAACTAATGGGCCGTGGGTTACCACTTTCAAAAGAATCGACGCGAAATATGTTTTATTTTGAAAAACATTTCTGTCCCATTTTAAACGAAAATTTACTAATACAAAGCTATTTTTCAAAATAAAAGTCGTTTGGCGAAAAAAAGTAGCATTTATTAGTCCTTAAAAAGGAACGGATTCGTCGCAATGTTTCACGTGCCAAATGCGTTTTTAGCACGGTGAGTCTTACATTTACGTACTTTTCAAAAGTTAATTAGTTAATTGTTGGTCGCGTTGTTTTATTGTGTTATGTTTCCTGTCACACATTAACGACTCGTTGGAAAACATTGTCTTCCATTAAACTGCTGCGCGGAGCAACAAAGGTTCAGGTTTATACGAAAAAAACCCCAACTAAACTTCTTATTGTGTATTATTCACGAATAACAGTTTACAGACGAGTTTATGGTCTTAAACTTTTTTTTCACGTAAGCAGATATGTTCAAAAAAATCCCGGAACAGATGTTATAATTTCTCAAGATGTCTGATGTTAATAACGAGTTTTTGTGAATTTCTCATGTGTCTAGAAGCTTTGTGTTTTGGCCGTTTTACTTTGAGTAAGTTTTCAGGGAGATTATTGAAATGAAAAGTCACATATAGTCACAGCTAATGTACTGTATCTATTGTCAGAAGTTTCCATTTAATTTATTTTTTAAATGGGTTTTAATGTATAAATGTTCCATTGTTTTTGCTTTAAAAACTAAAATTACTCATGGAGCTTTTCAGGAAGTATGTGAAGGATACACATCAAGTGAGAAGGAGAATTTTTTATTTTTTTTATTTTTTTGATGTAGCCCATCATCCAGGCCTCCAGGTGACCTGCAGTTGTTTTGTGTTACAATGAGACTGGAGCTGATTAGCTAGCACGTTGTGATGAAAAGAAACCTGTACTGGTGTTGTTCCTGGTGTCGCAGCTGCTCTTTGTTCTTGTGCTTGATCTCTTGATCTCTCTCTAAACTTGTTAAACCTCACAGCTGGTTTCACGCAGGACACGTAGTAGGAAACACGTTTATTTGAGAAATGTCTTTTAAAAACAAAAACAACCAAGTCATAGTACTACATTAGTCTTGAAGAGACTAAAAATTGTAATTGTATTTTTTAAATCATGACATTTTGTTTTAAAATGACGAGACTGAAGTAATTAGAGTGACTAAGCTAACAGTTCTGCTAACACAAACATTTTACAGCCTTTAAGAAACATCAGGTTCTGTCTACAAGGAAACCGTGCCCTTATGGATCGAGAGTTCATAGTGCAAAACAAAACAATCTTGTAACCATCGCTTCCTCACTTTGTCTATTTCTACATCACTGAAGTTCTGCACGCACTTCACGTCACAACACGTCACAAAAATCAGTTGCGTTTTCAGTTTCTCCATGGTGTTTGGCACAGAGGTCACAGATGAAGATTTGTCGTGTCAGTCTTTTTAGGGAGGCACCTGAATACTCTACATATTTTTTAGCCACACGGACAAAATTGTTCAATTCGGCGAATGTCTTGTGTCTTTCGTCGCCCACTTTTGTACCTGAGTCGGTAAAATTGACGCTGGATGTTCATTGCTATAAGATCCCACTCCTGGCACTTATTTGCTAAGACGAATGTCCATTTCTGTCGCACTCTGAATCCCTGAATGTGGGTCACGTCCCTCTTTGCTTATCAGCACCAGGGAAACGACCTCCCCACCATTTCAAAGAACAACTTGTTGGGCTTTCTGAAGTAGCGGCAGAGTTTTTTGAAGGCTTGCGTACTGAGTGGTGCATGCGGCCTGCCTTTGGACTCGTCCAGGCACTTGTCATGTCCGGCAGACAGGAGGCAGTAGAAGCCTTTGGTGGTGTTGTAGTAGAAATTGTTGGGGCTAATTTTGGGTGGGAGATTTAGGAATCTCTCTGCCTTTCTGAGTTCTGGAAAAGGATCTTTGATGAGTGCGTCACCGTCCACCACATGGATCTGGTCCATAGGGAAGACCTCCAGCCAGCGGGCCAAATGCTGGTGGTACAGACTCCTGTGCAGGGCTTTGTAGCCGGGGTCTATGCGGCCCTCGTTTAGCAGGAGCTCCTCCAGTGGTAGGTAGGGTTTGTGGCGGGTCAGACGGTTGTGCAGGACCTGGGTGTAGTCGGACACCAGCCTTTCAGCCGGGTCTCTGACGATCAGTAACAAGCGGACGGCGGGATTCATGGCCCAGACACGTGCTGGGACTTGAGGCGCTGCAAAGTAGCCGGGGGTCTTTTCCACTGTCAGCTGACCAGGTAGAGTGAAAGGCATCTGGGTCTTGTACCAGGCCAGGCCTCTGCGGTAGTGCTCCTCCACATTGAAGTAATGCACCTGAAAGGAATGAGGGGGAGAATTTGTCAGCTCGCACTAGCGTGATGAGGATTTCTTAATCTGCGACTGCTTAGGAATCATCCTGTCATCCTTCATCTTCCTGCTCAGGAGCTGCTCTGTCTTCCTTAATAAGTAAACCTCAGAGTTCAGACAGGGTGAGAAGTTCACCTGTCCACACTCATCTGGCTCTGTGCATTAACAGATATATCAAAGAACACAGTGAACGAGGTTGTTACGGCTGTCATCCGTAACTCTCACGCTTGTTCAACTTCCTCCCCTTCTCGTGGGCTGCTCCCTACAGGGATCGCCACAGCGGATCATCTGCCTTCATCTCACCCTATCTGGTGCCACTCTTAATTACATCAGTGAGTGGGAAGTTTACTGAAGTATCTTCAGTACCTTTTAACTTGAGGAGAGGAAACTAATCTTCAAACTTCTATGCTGTAGTTGATTTCAGGACATCGCTGCTTGGCCTGAGTGGAATCACTGCATTAAAGTCAAAAGTGTGGCTCTATGAAGTGTGACGACGCCCACTCCACACTGCTACAACTGTAAACATCCCCTGACCTGCACTTAATACCAGAATACAGCTGTTTTTAAAACAAAGCTGCGGTAAAAACAAATACATTTTAAAATGTATTAACTTTAACTGTGATCTAGCGCAAAAAAGGTTAGAACAGGAATTCCTAGTGCGGTGCAGTGTGCGAGCTGCCACAAGGGGGTGCACAAGAAAAATAAATGAAATTATTCGGATATATTTGTGGTCTGATCTGTAGAAAATAAAACAAGACTTGGAAATACTTATAAGTTCTATCCCAAAAGTTTTAAAAAGTGTTGTAGCGGAGATAATCCTCTTCGACTCTCAGGAATCAGTGACCATGATTTACCTCAGCCTTGGCCACCTCCACGTCTGGGTGCAGGTTCAGCATCTCCAGCAGGGCTCTGGTGCCACCTTTCCTCACACCAATGATGATAGCTCCAGGCTGCCGTTGCTGGGTGGCATTGTTGGAGGAGGAGGAGGGGGGCGAGGAGGAGGAGGGCGATGAAGAGGAGATGGAGGCAGGGGAGCTGGAAACCCCAGAGCGTAATTCCCTTAAGCACACAGATAGATGAGTCTGCAGCAGCAGAAGCACCAACAGAGCTAGGAGCACCGTCCACAGCATGGCGCCCCACACACACACACTCACACACGCTGGGTTGGTGCGTTGGTTATGTGCACACACTCATCAAGCTGCCAGACTTGTTGGGATTTGTGCTTGTTATTAGTCTGCAGGTGGCCTCACGAGGGAGCTCTTCAGTGTCACAACCTAAAAGCCAAGAAGAAAAGACAAAGGTCAATGCCCACTCTGCCTCAGTACCAGCCAAAGAAGTCGATCAAAACAACAACGGTCCATTTGGCAAAAAGGCTGGCGGTGAACCAGAAACCAGCTGACATTAAAAAAAAAAAGTCTTAACTTTAGTTCCTCAACGCAGAACTTTTTATTCTGACTCTCAGAGAAGTCTTAAGAATGTTTGTTTTTTTAATTAGTCCCTTTTGTTTACAGTCTTTCTTTTCATTGATTTCTGCCTTTCTTTCTATTTCACTTTCTTTTTTTTCATTCTTTCTTCAATTTTATCTCTCCTCGCCTTCGTTCTTGCCTCTCTTTCCAGTGTTCTTTTGCTCTTTGTTTTTAGAGTTTCGAAATCTTTTGATTTTCTCTGGTAGTGTGCGATACTGCATATTTTGGCAGTGCAACATCTAAACACAAGAGGGGGTAAGGAGGAGCACAGTGTGCCTGCGCTGATACAGGAGCGGCGAGTCTGGCAATCTGGCTGTTTCCTCTTGCAGAAACAGCAGCGTAACTTAAAGCAAAGAACCGATCTCACCAGGCTAGTATAGATCCGATACCGATACTGACTTTGTATCAATATTATCGATATTTATATATTTTTTTATATTTATATATCGATCCGCCCACCACTAGTTTTCTCATTCAGTTGTTGAAGGTGTACAGCCTCACAGAACACAGGGATCTCTGACATTTTGGACTTTTGTCATTAGTCACCGGACTTCAAAAAGTCCAAAGTGGAAACTTTTTACCTTACACCAAATTTTTCTTCAAAATGTTTTCCACATACGTAAATTTAGAATATGGACATCTGTACACAATAAGTCAGTAAGAAAAAAAACAAAACTTAGTTTTACTTGTTCAGAAACTGAGAATCGTGAAACATTTTGGAAAAATGTAAAATAAATTATTAAATGAAATTAAAATTCCAAATTAAATAATAGTTTTTTTTCCCACTGAATTTGATCAACATTCTCAGAGGTGTGGCTTTAATAGATTTTAGTTTGTTTTTTTCTTCTGGATAAAAAGAACCTCTTTGTAGAATCTGTGCAGCAAACACTTGTTTCCCTCGCATTTGTTTCCCTCAAACCTTGTTATTTTTTCCTTCCTGTTCTTGTTCTTGTTGTTGTTGCTGCTGCTGGTGGAAGTGTTAGTTAGTGCTGCTCTGATTGGACTTACTTATTAATTACAGTAGCATTGCGGCTCAGATGTTCAAACACTGTTCCTGTAGCAAGTCACTAATTGTAACCTCAGGGAGCTTCGCTGCTTCTCCAGCGTCCTGTGCTACACCCTGACTTGGTGACACTGTCGTCACTGATGTTGCAATCAGTAATTGGTGTGTGTTATTTCCAGTGAACTGGGGTCTGGTGTGTGGGTGTTACTGAGGAGATGGTCATCTGGAATCAAGGATAAGTTGCAAAAAAAACAACAACGAAAGAAAATGTAAAATTAAGGCGACATTTGGAACTGATCAGAGAGTAAAATACTTATTCGAAGGTATGTAAAATCACTGTATTTGGTACACGGTGAGACACAAGATAAGAAGTAGATAGTGAGATAGAAATACATACTTACAATATTTAAGTAAGCACAAAACGATGCAAACCTTAGGGAACGTAAACATAAATGTAAATATCAAGGTAAAATGTGAACATTACACAACTTTTCTACTCAAATAAGAGCAAGCGTTGGTTGTTTCATACTGTGTTTCATATATACCTTTTCGTAAAAACGTTTTTAACTACCCGTTCATTATCAAACTATTTATTGCACTTCTGCACATTGGATGTACCTACAACATGTTAATGATCTTATTTTGGGTTTGACGACCACTCAAACCATTTCGCTTAAGATGTGCCGATACACAGTGTAAAAGTCAAATTTGAAAAAACTTTAAATTAACTCTTAACATTGTTGATTCAGCTGACTTTCTAAATCTGATCCATTGCCCTAGTGTTTATACTTGGAATGAAGAAATCGCGACCATGGGGCCACTTGTGACACACAAAGAATCACACCCGGCCCATGACGATAGATGGCAATTAAAATTTTCCCCTTGAGGTTTTTTTAAAAATGTATTTTAAATTTCTTTTTAATTAACAAAAACTTGATAGCCATTTGAGAAAGTTTACCTAACACTCTTATACAGTATTCATGTTTAACAAAAATGTTTTCTAAAAATGTCTGGGTGTTTTGTTTCTGTTTGGAACAATTTTGAACATTTCATAGAGCGCTAAGCTAATGCTAGGTGTACTGAACATTCAGTCAGAGGCTGCAGAGACAAAAGATCTTTGATAAGTGTGTGTGTGTGTGTACGTGAGGTAGGTGAATGTGCTACACACAGAGACACATGCCTTGCGTTAAGTGGGCGTGAGTCTCTTGTGACTTTTGTGTTAACAGGTGTGTGTTAATACTTCCCTGCTGTCAAGTCCATTCCACTTCGCCCTGTGATCTTCTTCTCTCGCCTCCTTCTTTCCTTACAACCTCTCCTTGTCTGCTTTTACCTTTGTTATTTCCCTCTTTTTTCACTTCTTTTCAACTCACTAACTTCCTAATTCAAAACCATTTCAGTTTACACACAATGTAGTATTCAGACCCTGGACTCTTTCACTGCTTTTTTGACAACAACGCACGAAATTCTGCTTCATCAAATAAATAAATAGCTTCACCTGTATGCTAGCAAGCTAAATAGAATTTTTATAACTTTATTTTACTTTGGTTTTTACTTAAGGTTAAGCTTCATGTCCCATTATCAGTAAATGTAACTGCTGCTTATTAAGGTTAGTCCCCAGCAGGTGGCTCATGTAGCATGACACAGTACCAGTAACACGCTACATATGGAAAAGAAAAATTGCTAAGTATTGTTAGCTTCTTTGAACTTCTTTTGAGTGTGTTTGGCTAGATGATGGTGGTTTAGCTGTTGGATGAAGTTCGTCCATTCGAACAAATTCCCTTGTTAATAAACATTAATAACCTTAATGTTACTGATATTATAATAGCAAGCTTAAAGCTAATTTAGCTTTAGCTTGTGGTGTGTGAGCTTCCTCTTCTGTTCTCGGAAACAGAAGAAACCATTAGTGTCAGGTAAGAAAAACAATGGCAATTACAATCAGCATAATTGCTAATTGGCTGCTAATTTGCTCAGTTTGTTGCTGGCAACTGTAGTTTCATCAGAATGCGTTGGATTTTGATACTTACAGTTAAATTAGTACCAGTGCTTCAAGAGTTTACAACAGTCCCTTTTTCTGGTTTGTTGGTATAAATGGAAGAAAATCTGAACAAAATGCTCGTCTGCATTAGCTCCACATGGCTGAACGGCTCTTCATCAGCACCATATGAGCTCCAAGTTAGCCTCTTAGCTTCTGCCTAATGAGGCTCACATGAGTCATTGCAAGTCCTTGTTTTTCCCATTCATCGCCTCTTGTGATTCACATTAGCCGGCGTTGATGGGGAGGACAAACAACAGCAATAAGAACAATGCCAGAATTGTCAATGATGCGTGGATTCTCCATATTGACAAACACGAGTACTTCGCCAAACTGAAATGCAGGTGATGAGAAGGGAAAGAAAAAAAAAATGAGCCAGAGCGTAGTATCATTTTCTGTGAAAAGCAGATGCTCCGATTTGCAATTTTTTTAAAAAAGAAATCATATGTCTTACAAATTATGGTGCGTGTTTGAGTGTGTGTGCGTCTTTTCTCATATGCACGTGTGCCGTGGCTTTGCAGGAACGCAGCGTTCTGCTGCCTGTGATCCAGGTCTTTGGAAATATATTTTTACAGAGTGATGGCATTTGATAGGTGGGAGAAGGATTATCCTGAACAGAGAGTTACAGCAGAGTGGGAGACATGCAGTTGGGGGGGGGGGGGGCAAGATGGGG